CGTCGCCCAAGGATGGGTTGATATCACTTGATAGATCAGATGGATCAAACGTTTGACAGAAAACCAGGTTAGGATCAGCTTGCTGAACCACAGGATCTAAAAATGGTTATTATGCCTCGTTTCACACAGTTCTCATACTTAGTCTGGTAAAGTTGCATTAAGGAATCATGCAAAGTTTTACCGTAAGTCCTTGAGTAAAATGCCACAGAAAAATGTCTCTCTTCAGTGTGCATGGATAGGAAAGAAAGCTTATGAAATTATCTCTCTCTCTTTCTCTATGACTCCCTTTTCACGTACTTTATGTTATGGATAGAAGTATGCAGGTAGCGGTATTTTCACAGGCAGAATTCTTTCGGAAATCAAACGCACAAACGGAAGTCAAATAGAAATCAGAGTTTTGGGGAGGATGTGATGTTGATTTGTTAACAGTTCAACATTCAAGCAGGACAGGAAACAGGTGTTCAGGCCTGTAAAATTGAATAAGCGCCACGGGCCGTTTAGTTTAATTCTGAACTGTTGTGAAAATTGACCGGAGGCGTCCCCTGATAGACACAGACGGTGAGGACGCACACAGACGCACGCACGAAATGTTGATGCATAGGGAAATGTGATTCCCTCTATACATACTGGCGCATCAGTTTAACGGATAGACGACTGTTTCGCCTCAGGGACAACAAGCTATTCCCTCCGGTTCTCTCGTCCTCACTTTTACACGCTCTCTGACGTTCCATACGAATTTTCACACAATTTCTGCTACCACCACAATTCACCCACAGGCACGTACATTCAAATATAAAAGAGGTTCTGGTTGGTTTTGTGTGCATGCACTTGAATTCATGTCCACGTCTGGTACGGTATTGGTATCTGCTGCAGTTCTACAATTATTTCTTCACGCCTCAGCAGAAGAAACCGTTTTGTGTGTTTGCGTATGTGCAGAACCCATTGATGTGTTCATGGCTACGGGTTCGAGGCGATAGATTCAGTGAGCTGCATACAGTAAACAATCGTTAAACAACCGGTACCTGATTGACAAAGTCCTTCACTGAACGTTTCCATACGGGTTTTTATTTGTATGTGGAAATCGTTTTGGCTTTTACTTCCCTCCTTCCCAGTCCCATCCCACCCCAGTCCTCATGAATACAAACAAACAGAATCCCCGTGAACGAGGGACGGTGAAAGGAGTGGTTGTGAGCCTTTTTCCAATGGGACGTGAAAACGCCAAGTGCTGTCCATCATGTTTTATCATCATTGGTGCAGTATTTGTGTATAAATATGCCCAAGCACATACGTCCCTCTGAGGTTCACTTGGCCAATGCAGTTTTGTAAACTGTATATTGCTGGCGTCTAAATTTGTGTAGCCACTACCAAGTTGTCAAATCTATTGGTGCCGGATAATTGGGTACACCAGTTAGAGCTGAGTATCACCTTGTTTGTTCTCGATGTGCGGTAATTTAAATGTACAGTTTGCAAATTATTTCCTGTTTTAGGAGTGTTTCTGTTTTACTGTTAACACACGATTGTACTTGAATTATGGTGGCTGATTACCCTTGAGGATGGCGTTTTGTTCTTACGGACAAAGAGAAACACGAGATATGAATACGCTCGGAATTACTTGAGGACAGTTGTCATCAAGTCTGATTGCATCATCTAAAAGGGGCAATGATTGTAAGTGTTTCGTCTTCAAACTGTTTGAGGTCAATAGTTTGTGATGTTTTCGTTATATCCAATTTGCAAGATTTTAGGTATAGCCAAAGTGCAAAATCTAACATACAGAGAAATATTTCCACAATTCTCATATAACTAAAGAGGTGATTATTAGGCCTGAGTAAACTTTACTCACAATAAAATAAAATAAATGAATAGACTTTTCTGGTAAGGACGTGTAAACAAATTTTACGAGGTAGGCAGTGACCGTGTAAAGTTTGTCTGCGCAGATACATGATTGAGGGTTCTGGTAGTGGAATGTAAAATCAGAACCCACGGGTCATCATTTTTTGACATCATCATCACTTTACCACTGCAATTGTTTGCTAAAATAACACCGAGCAGATAGGAGAAAAGCTGAAGAGTGGGTGCTCTGTAGCATGAGTTCTTTAGAGGGCGCACGATGCCGGTAGATTGACCGTTCAGCACTGATATCAATAAATTCTACTTTGAGCACCCAGCTGATGAGAATTCCTACTTCAAACCCAAAAAGGTGGGAATAACTTGTTCTGAGATCGACCCCTTTTTGAATCTACGTCAAGTCATGGTAGTTAAACTACCACAGTGCTCCTTCCATACTTGGTGAGCTTACTTCCTCCCTTCCTTTACTGCGGCTGGCTCCTTGGAAAGGATAAGCCGACTCCAGACACGATTATGATCAAGATCATGGAGTTCCTTGGGAATTTGGTACGAGAGACGTCCCCAGCCTCACTCGGCGTATTTTATTTTAAGGACGCACCTCTAGCCTTTGCACAACCAAGTGCGAACTGCAAGGGAAGTAATCCCTCGCCTCGGAAGTGAGAGGGTCAATGGCTAGTTTTAAAAGGCCAGTCACACCGATCTTTGTCACGAAAACGCCATTGGGTTCATGCTGCTTTTAACCAGGAGCCAGGTGACCAATCTGGAACCCACCCCATCTTGGTAGTTCCACCGCTGTTTGTTTGCGACGGCTTATTTGCCGTGGTATGCCACAACTTATTCACAGCTAACCTGTGAAGGTATCTCCCAATCCACAAGCCGAGGATGCGCGTGGTAGAAGCTCTGCTTAACTCGAGGGTACCCAGGCGCGAAATGAGTACGGAAAGGTAGAGATTGGGCTTGCGTACGCAAAACTTGTCCGAACTGTTGGAGGACGATCTTCGGCATTTGACTCACGAGGATCAACCTCGGTTTTGGGGTAAACAAATTCCCCCTTCTGGTTGGTTCTGGATCAGCCAACCACACCTTGGAGCAACACGTTTCATAAGTCTTGTTTTTGGTTATCGAGTTGTCTACCTGGATGATAATAAAACTACCAAGAAAAAACGATGACATGGATGGGGTTCGGACCTCAAACTCAAGTTCCCGGAGCAAGACAATATCAGGGACTTGATCCAATTGACTTCTGTTGACAGAATATGAAATAGCGATGATCAGCTTCAACCTGTATAGCTGAACGCGTTATACATCCTTCCTCCGCTGTACAGACGATTGATGTGGCTGCATTACTCCCATTGCTGATTGTTGTAAACTGTTTTAGCACGTGCTATTCGTAAGTTTATATACTTTTTACCATGAGAGACACCACTTCGGATTAAGTGGTCACCCAACAGAATAAAGACCATTCAAATCCCTTCAAATATTACAGAATTATCTTCTGAATATAATTGGGACATACCGGATGCGGGTCGCTTGATTATCAACTGTTTGTGCAAAGAATGCATTAACTACTTATCACGTTAACGTCTACCACGGGTGTTTGCCTCAAACAGGAGCAATTAAGCGATATTCTGTAAACATCAAAGGCAGATGAAGAAAAATATTTTTCGTTCTGTTTTACTTATTTGATCGAATGACCTCTCACTTTGGGCTACAAAGCGTCATAAAATATGAGTATGTATCGTAAGAGAAGAATCTAAGTTCTGTCAGCTGGACATGGTTAAGTTTGGTATAGTATGGTATCTCCTATCGAGGGCGTGACTGTACTGTGGGCTTTGAGGGTGATGTGGCAATTCGACTATCGCTACAAACAGTTTTTGAGCAATGAGGCATGATAAATATTGTTTGACTCAGTCACATGAAATGTAGAGGATAGTCCCATGCGTTAGACAGTAATAAGTGAATGCTAGCAACAGATGTTATCAAGCCCCAGGCTGTCGGAGCCGTAAGTGATATCACCCTATCCCAGCTGCATTAGCAGATCAGATTTACGTTAGGCAAGGCTAAAGCCTGGAATCCGGAAGTATAGTAAATTTCAAGAATCTCGGATACGATCTTGGTTAGACGTTAGTTTCTTCAGTAAATAAAATGACGATAACAAGAAGAAGTAAAACGCAAAAGTTACCAACTAATACATTCCCTGTTCGGGGACCATGAACATTGTGCCCGTATCTATATAACAAATAATGACTCGCACACGAGTTTTGCCACATTTAGGACAAAATAACAACTGCATTATGCACAGGTAATTTGAATAGTGCACCTCATCAAATGTCCAATCAATATTCACCATTGTTAGTGCGATCAATCAATATATTCCTAACCACAGAATCGTTCTAACAGCAGTTTCACGACAGACGGTGTGAGGTTTTCTTTTGAAACAGAAAGGATTGAGTAGTAGTAAGCTCACAGCGTGTCAGAGAATAGCTTTCTGATTTTTTATCCCATTTTGTTGCAATTAGTGTAAAAGTTCGAAACAAATCGGACACTGAGCACGTTTTGGATCCATTCCACCGGTGAGGCTTCACCCCATGCTTCCTTAAGCTTCCCTCACGTGCACGTGACTGCATGGGTTGCTCGACGAAAGTCTCCTGATCTGTTATCCCTTTCAATGTTAGACAAACACATTCCCACAAGTGACGAATCTACCTGTCAAGAATTAAAACTACCGACAAATTTGCTCAAGTTGCATTGCTGTGGTTGAGGTCGGTCCCATCACCTTATAAAGCTCATCCGTTTCATTCTATCCTGTCTCGGACACAACAACTTGTCACGGCAGGATAGAGCACTGCGCTAGCTAAGAGAAACCTTCCTACATGCATTTGAAACTGACGGTTTTCTGATATCATTCAACTTGTATTCCATTAGGCACAAATTATCCTGTCTGATAAAACTATTCGTTCGGTTTTCTTTTCTGCAATTCCCTAACCCCTAACCAGGCTCATCAGTTCTATCCCTTGGTCCAAATTAACTGCTCAGAAGATCTTCGTTTTCTGCTGTGCTCCATTTACACACCTATCTGCATCGATGGCTATCCGAGCTTTCTACCCCCTTGTCGCTCCATATGCGAACGGGTGAAAGCAGGCTGTGCGCCCATAATGCAACATTACAATTTCCCTTGGCCTGATCGAATGAGTTGCGATCAGTTTCCCGAATACAACAATCCACAGGGAATTTTGTGCATGGAAAGAAATCTGACAGACTCGACTAATGGTGGTCGTACTCACTCTCGAAACTATGACGTCCGGAGGACGGTGAGACCGGAAGATACACTGCCTACAGAGACTGAATCACCTCTTCTGGAGGTAACATCCAGCAACATTTTACCGGACGCATGGCTTGATCGGTTCAACATGGAAGCCACTCACACACTCCTAAACAAGGCCATGCAAAACAAGACGATTCGCAAATGGATGAAACTGGATCCTGGATTAAAATTGGCTTGCCAGTGTGAATGTCTGGTTACTACGAGTCGCACATCGCAGGAAATGGACTCGGTGAGTTCCAGATGGGTATCAACGTATATGAGGATAGCACAAGTATCTTATTGTATTTCACTCATTTCCCAGCATCTTTGAGCTCGCAGAAATATATAGTATACTTGTTTCACCGTCAGTTATCCAATCTGGTAAGCGCCAATATAGTGAGTTTTCTGCTGTGAATGACACCCGCTGATAATTGTTTTCACAAACACATGTACTTCGGAGGGCTTGAATTTTATACCCGACATGGAAGTAAACAATGTTTTAGTCACGTGTTTGAAGTTAACAGTTTTGGAACAACCTTTGGATTTTCCACTATGGACGTGATTGCAAGTCTGATTGTCATGGACGAATTAGTCCAATTGGGGGTAGGAATCTGTTCAATATTCAGCACTTAAAATGTCCCCAAGTCTCTACACATCATACGTCATCATGCTTTTGGATACTCTATGCCTAAGATAAAAATTGTAGTGAACGGATGCCATGAACTTTTGCGGAATTAATATTACAATGCCTTTCTCTCTGTTAAACAACAGGAGTCTACAACCAACTCGCATGAGTGTGCAGTCCCCTGCAAAACATCTCATTTCATGGAAAATGCACCTGAAGGATTCACAACATACTGGTTCGCATTATGGTCAACACTGTGTGCAATATCAACTCTCCTGACTATTTTGACATTCATGCTGGACTCATATCGATTCCAGTATCCCGAATTACCTATCATCTACCTATCCACATGTTACTTTATGGTTTCCCTGGGCTACCTGATACGGTTAATCCTCGGACACGAGTCAGTTGCATGTGATGCAGCCATGATGAGCTCGACCATGCACGAGGATAACCCAATTTCCGATCTGCGGGTGGACACCGCAATAGGTGGGACCGAACTCCCACTGTTAACCCGGGCCCTGACAACAGTTGCGCAGGACATCTCTCAAATGTCCTCGTTTAATCGGGTGAAGGTTTTACGCTATGCGACTTCCGGTCGAGCCAGTTGTGCAATCGTTTTCCTCTTGGTCTACTTTTTCAGTATGGCCTCATCCGTTTGGTGGGTGATTCTCACATTCACCTGGTTTTTGGCTGCTGGACTGAAATGGGGCAGTGAAGCGATATCGAGATATTCACAAGTGAGTAATTATAGAGATTAGTTGATTGAAGTAAATGTTTGGAACAACCTGATTCACACTGGCACCCTAACTAATGCGTCAGCACCTGCTGGTTGCAAGCAAAATAAATCTTAAGTAAACAAAGTATGCGTGATTNATTTTCTGAAAAAAAGCATTTTCATGAGTTAGGAATTATAATGATCTTGAACACAGCTAAGTGAATCCCGTGTAATATAGCACATGGCCAAATTTTCATACATTTCCAATCAAATGGAAGCTTGATCAGTGGACATGCATAGCATGCTCCGTAGAAGCTGCAAAAATGATAAACACAAAATGGGGCTGTATCCAGTCGTAGTCTGTTTTTGTGTTATTAAGGATACACCGTTTGATCGTCGTTAGAATGAGAGGTTCAACCGCTGATTACATTTCTCTGCTGTACGATTGAATGCGTCTAAATAGTCTTTTCTGAGAGACTCTTCATTCCGTGATAAAGTACAAAAAACTGTTATCTTAATTCAACGTTTGGGAAATGTTGAGGATATTCCATTTAGGGACCGTTTGGCTCCAAAGCAGAGCACTTGAGTCCGGGGAGTGCGAACAGGAATTATTGAATAAAATCACACGGAGTTTGCTTCCAGTACATCACTATAGATCGCAGTGTCCAAACGAAGTTTGGAAAGTACGATCAAACTTGCATTTGTCGGTGCTCTTCAGGTGTACATAACCAGTACCTTCTGACCTATCACACTGTTACTTGTATCATAATAATGTTTTACCAACATGTTCATCAGGAAAACTAATGTCAAATAGTAACTGCACAGAAATGTGGATAAGAATTTTGTGAACTCATTACCCCTGCACTGTATAATTGATCATGACATTCAAATCCCTTTTGTGTATTGAATTATGCTGCCTACGACTTTTATTTAATGAAAACTATTTCGCACATCATTCCCAATTTAGCGTTAACGGTTTTGATATAACGTCTGTCTATGGTCGAGTGATTCATGAATTACGTCACAATTCACATCATGTTAGACACGGTATCGCAAAAACTCAAGATCGCTTCTGTTGCCACATAATTGATAATATTTTTCGGGCCCATTTTTCATCAAATTGAGGCAGTCGAATTGTGTAGGTTGCGCTCCAATTGCCTAAAGTCATTTTTACGAAACCAATTCACTGAATCTCAAGTCACTTGCATTTCACTAACAGCACGAATAGAAATGAGAAATTAAAGGAGGAATAATTTTGATCAATCTACTTCAGATTACCATTTCTGAAACACAGACCTTCTATTTCTCAATCAGTGAAATGTGCCTTTGAATTGTTATACGAATGTTATTGAATGTCTATGCAAACTTTTAATTGCTCACCCCAACTTTTTCGCTTGATTCAAACTTCTTTCACACCTATGTGCAACTCTCTGTTCGGTAGGCATCAAATCTGTTGTAAACAAATTGAACGGAATCTACCAAGATCGTACGCTTAACCATGCTCCAATAAATGTTTTTTTCTTAACCCAAGCTCCCCTCTCCAATAACCCCTCGTTTCACGGTTACACATGTCCTCACTTGAGAAGAGTTCGGTTTCTCGTTTGAATGGACTGTTGTTTGACATGTAAGAAAATAATTATCAATGGATGATCAACCTGACTGAACTGTATAGAACAGTTCCTGTGGTAAGAAAGACATCTTTCAGACTTAAATCTCGAGGCATTAACTTTTGCAGGAAAATAAAGCCTGTTGAAAATCAAAAATATATTATTATGAAAATTGGGAATCACACAGTAGCACACGAATGGGTAGAGGTGAAACGCCTTAATTTGTTTTCCCATCAACCTCATTTTAGGAACCAGTTGGTATATAATGTGCCTCCTTTGTACATCGTAGCGGATCTGAAATTTCCTCGAAACTGTTCTCTTTCAGCTTTCATTTTTGAACCACCCTTTTGCCTTGGATTTTAGGTATTCCACTTTATTGCCTGGTCTGTCCCGACCGCGCTCACGGCACTCGCTCTACTCCTGTCTGTGGTCGAAGGGGATCCGACTAGCGGTCTGTGCACTGTTGGGACCAATCGACCCCTGGCCCGAATTTTGTTCCTATTCGCACCCTGTTTGGTGCTTTTGGCGCTTGGTGTGATTTTTCTCCTGGCCGGTTTTGTTGCCCTGTTCCGTATCCGTGGAGTCATCAAATTACAACGGATTGGATTGACTAAAACCGACCGACTGGAGACGCTAATGTTACGGATTGGAGTGTTTGGTGCATTGTATGCGATTCCGAACATCACGGTCCTGGTGTGCATGGGTTACGAGTTACGTGATACATACGTCTGGCAATTGGGACAAGTGTGCCGTTGTGTGTACGAGACCACGTCTGTTTCCCGAGTCCTGTCGCCACTGCCGGGATCGAATACCTTGCCTGAGTGGGTTGCGCCCAAACCCGATTATATCATGTTTTTGTTGAAACATTTCATGAGCCTGATTATCGGTGTGACTTCGGGATTTTGGATTTGGTCGCACAAAACGTTGAATTCGTGGAGATTGCTTTGTCGTGGACGATGTTGTCCTTCGGGTGGGGGAAGTCAGAGTGGTACGGTTCGACTGTTACCAAACACAACCATTGCTGAACTAGACGGTTCTAGCAAACAAAATTTAGTCCCCTGGATCGGGTTCCCGTCAGCTGTATCGATGCATGCCGTGACTCATCCAGGCAGCTCCGGGGACCCTCGGGGCACGTTCGTTTGCCGAGGACAAAGCAACAATTCGGAACAGTTCGGGAAACAACATCCGATTCAAACGCCCTTGCCACCGGTGCCAACTGGAAAAGAAGTATACTATTACGACCGTGTACATCAAACCTCGATAAATAACACAAATAATAATACCTCCTCCGGATTGAACCAACGACGTATGAAGGGGTGTTCAAACCGATCGGACGGAAGTCAAACACTGTTATCGCCGTACACAGACAACTCGGATCGACCGACGATGCTGGAAGGATCCGCAGATACTCCGAAGAACTCCACATTACTTATGCACCCGAGCATGTCATCTATTAGTGGCTTTCACAGCCCCGGGAAATCGGTAACCAATCCAAATAATTGGTCCGCTCTGTCTAGCAGTGGAATTAGCAGTGGTCTCACAATGGTAGGACAAGTTTCATCCATACCAGATTCAGACAACAATACGGGATACCCACCAACGCTTAGTAAATTGGATAGCGCTGGTGGAATCACAAACAGGACCATGTTCCCAAACAAAAGGCCCGATTTGACCACAAATGGATACAAGTATGTCAGAAAATTTTATTTATGAAACACAAGTAAATGCATTCGTGTTTCGTATTTAAGAATCAGTGCGTTCATTGTCATTTCAACTCCTGTACTTTCTCAACTGTCTTCATTAGAATCGTGCTCCGCACCATTCGTGGTCCGCTAAATTTCATGGTAGTGTAATCTGTTCAAGAATGTTTTCTGCACGCTATACTATCATATCGTGCATAACGGTGTCGGTCGTCTTGATATAGCTGGACCTCATAAAATAACTGTTCATTAAAAGCAGGTGTTATGGAAAAGCACTTTGTCTGTTCATAATGTTGTTTATATCAAATGAGCCACTGATCTAGACCCAATAAAATACCCCGTAATGAGGCAAGCAAATCGTTTTGTTGGGATGTTCCACCTTATTTAGGTGAGCTAACTGTCCATTGCTCGTCAATTTTAATTGTCACAAACAGCCTGTTGGCAGTCCTACACTGTTGCCAAAGCCACCGTCATGGGGAAACAATAAGAAGGATGTTCCCAGTAGGTGCTATTGTAACGAAAACGTCTATTGACCCAATTCAAAAACGAACAGTGTCTGCGTTCGGTTATGTACAGTCAATTCTGAACCGCGCGGCGGGATGATTCATGCCTCTTTCTGTGGATCATTCGTTGTTGGTCTTGGTCCGCACTTGGCACGTACGTTGCCTCTTCTTCCGCGTGCCATTCCGACTAGTTTGACCCGATCGCGGCGCGAGATGCGTTGATCGACAGCTCCGACGTTGTGGCATTCGGTGGGTATCTTTCCCGTTAGCTGCGGGTTGTCTTTCGGGCTGTAATTGTCGATTCACTCGTTTCGGGTGGCAGTCAACATTGTCTCGCGAGGCACTTCCCGCCGCTGCGTCTGTGCGTCTGGTCGGATGGGCCCCATTCTTGCTTCGGTCGTTAGCCAGGACTCTCTTTGAACTGCTTTCCATCACACTATAACAGTTTGTATGAGAATTTTTCCTGGGGCTAACAGTGGCCGCACTCTCTCTCGGAATAGCCTAAGCTGCTTAACATGAAGTTCTGCAGAGATTTGAACAGATGTTGGATAAAGCTGTCATTTTCTTCAAAGTAATTGAAATGAGCTTTTAAGTTATCCACCCACAAAATTGGAAGACTTGGGATAGTCTATACATTAATCTTTTGAATGATCCCATTATGGAGAAATGACACATTGTACACAATAATGTCCTGATGAAATTAATTAATTTTTCGAACTTGTATAAAACCTAGAAGAGTAATTCATTGAACCCATACTTGGTGTTGCAGAAAACATGAATATATCTGAACGATCGTTTAGGAAAATAATTTTATCGATTTGTTGTAAATGATTGCCCAAAAATTGTTCCATCCCCAAAGCGGTAAATCTGGTGTCGTAGTTCAGTATGGCAATACAGCGGCATTTTTCCATAACGCGGTTGAACATAATGAAACGAGATTGGTTAATAACTGTAGTGTCAAAAAGAGTTTATGTTCATCTGAAGTGGGACTCACAAGAGTCCGACTGCTGTATTCAGTCCGGGTCATTTGTTGGTAATATATTGAACTCACCACCCCTTAAATTTCTAGGAATTTAAGCTACTGATGATCAATAAAAAAGATTCATCCGTTTTACGGGGCTTCAAAGGCCTTATCTGTGAGACGTTCATACTGCATGATGAACAACTTGATAAGCACTCATGCACCTGTTACTATTTTAAATAAATGTAGGTGGTTTATCTCGAGGTCGAGCTCTTAACCAGACTTCGGCTGGGTTTCACCCCAGCTTGTACGTACACACCGAAGCAGCTTTTCCAAATGCTTTAAAAATACTAATAAGTGTGCTGGACCAGAATCAATTTCACGTTTATTCACAGCTTCACAAACTCCAAACATTTTTGGTGGAACAGACAAGAAAGAAAATTTCAGTTTGTTTCAGTTCTCTTGTTGTTTTGCACTCCCGAGATTTGACGAAACAATCTTTGTTTTCTCCTGTGAAAATGAGTGTTGCTTATCTATCCCCTAGTTCTATCCAAATGATGAAAACTTGGCTTTAGACTTTTGTAACATTGAGCTGATTATATTCTTTTAGCGAATTCATTCACTACATTTAAAATTTAAAAAGCTTTACTTCTCATCATTTCATTTGTTCAAATCATCTCGACATAAATCAGATCACTTGCTTTTTCTTTGCGTTTTTTCCAGTGATTTCTCCCTTCACACATCACACTCAAGGATGGAGAATCAGATGGGACCATCGCAGCAATCCAACGATTATCATGGCTATTACAGTTCAGCCTCGGTTAGTCACGATGCACATAGAAACCATTTCGGTAGTGATAACAATCAATGTGTGTTTTCCAATTCAGCCAAAGATTTTCACCCTGCTGCTGTACGATCTGCAGATTCTGGTCGATTGAAATCCAGATCCGGAGCATCGGAGAGTCAGTCGAGAGTAGGGACCAGTTCCTCACCGGATCAGTCAGGAGTGATGCATCCGCCCGGCATACTGAAGGTTTGATTGGCTACGTAATGTTCACTGACGGCTTGAAGCGGATCAGCATTCAGCGAGCTCTGTCTCCCTCCACGCATACACAGATACCCACTAGCAGTGCTTTCGCGTATGGATTCTCGGAGTCTGGGTTGATCAAAATAATGGACAGGTTTGTGAGAATGTAGAACTCTCCTGCACCAATTCAGTAGTCCATCAATTCTATACGATACTGAATTCATTTACATCCTCTTCAAGTGTACGATAAAACATATTCATGTTGTGCACTCAAACATCAAGCTCACTACCTCGTCCCATTTAAGACTATCGGACCACCCTTGGTCATTTAAATCATGGTAACGCGGTACCACCATCACCACCAAGACTTACCTCCATTTTTATGTAAATAATTTAATGGGTCTCCTACAGTGATCCCCTTTCGTTCATTCTCAAAGCTACGCCCGTTATCTTGTTTTCCAACTATTTCTTCCAAAATGCTCTCCAATCCTTCATATCTGTTCATCCACCGGAATGAACCAATGTTTTGCCTTATCCCGGAAACTTCAATTTTTCGGAAACGTATCATGATATATCTCAGTAGTTGTATATACACCATCACAAACTCACGAGGATTTATACACATGAAGTCAAATAATTTTTTTTGAATATGCATGCACGCTTGCCTTGGCAGTTCTTGTATGCAATTTGCGTACCTTTATTTCGTTATTTGTATTTGGCGGCAATTGTCTAAGATCTGGAATGCATTATACAATACAAGTAATACACTTTTGAAACCCCATATGCATTTGATTGCAAAATAAAACGGCCATTAACAAGCATCCTTGATGAAAAGCATCTTGAACCGTAACTCACCCGATTCCGGAAAAAATGAAAAAGGATTACAGAATAGACAGACCAATATCACTGTTCAGTCAGTCAGTCAGTCAGTCAGTCAGTCAGTCAGTCAGTCAGTCAGTCAGCTGCAGTCAGTCAGTCAGTCAGTCAGTCAGTCAGTCAGTCAGTCAGTCAGTCAGTCAGTCAGTCAGTC